TCTTTCCATCACATGCCACAATCTTCACTTTGTCCACCTTAGCCACCTCATGCACCTCTCGGAACTCAACATCATTCAACATGAAGGTCCACACATTGTCACAGAAACGGTAGGTGTTCAACTTTCCAGCCTGCAAACAGAAACCACACCCAATAACTTCTTCATATGTATAGCATCTTCTAAAGCATAATCAATTATTCATCTTTGCCATTCTGAAATTCTCCAAAGAAATGACTACTTGAGAGCTTTGTGGCAAAAGGACAATATTTAAATAAATCTTTGGGACATTCAACAGAAGAACTGACAGTATGAATGAAGGCTATACCTTAAATGTGAGTCTGGACTTCACCCTTGTTGCCAGAGCTGTGTTGATTGATTTATCAAACTGCAGAAGAACTTTGATAGCAAGCTGTGGTGTGATCTGACCATACTGAAACATTGAAATTGTGCATAATTCATACATCCATGAAATAAACTTAATATGCTAGTGATCTGAACAACATATAGCTTTATCAAAATTGAAGCTTTCACTCCATACCAATATTGGTGAATGCCAAGAAGACTTATTGCAATGCAAAACTTACAAACCAGCGAAAAGTTGGTGAAGAATGTTATGTTAAATTATGGACGCGAGGTTCCCAACAAACCATCAATCTACATCATGAACAATGATCACCAAGGGCAGGCGTATATACATAAGGAAATATATAGTATATGGCTACTTCACTGAATGTCCTACCTGCAGATTATGACTTACTCTAAACTACGCTAACCTAACAAAATAGGTCAATCAGGAACCATAAAATGCACTACAACCTAAAAATTCAGTTGTGTTTATATTCGAACTAATGTATTACCTAATCAGTGTTCTATTCTGTGCTTTCATTAAACCTGTCACGTACTTTTGAAAACTTACCTGGATTAATTCATCAAGGCTTTCCTGCAAAGTATTACCCAATGTAGTATTTCTATATAATTGATAGGACATGTTGTATCGCTAAACTAGAAATATGAGACAATACACTGTATATGTTTAGACCTACCGACACCAAGGGTCCCCCTCCCCCCCCACGAAAAAGCAAAGCGTGACGACAAGGAATAACAGCATAGAAACAATCGAGTCTCCCAGTCGGCCACTTTTGATTGGCAGGGTTGCAATGGCTCTGCGGTTACATAAAACGTCGGAGTAGGTGATCGGAGAAAATAGTGCATGAGAAGGTGTGGAAAGTCACAAGACGGGCAGTTTGGTCTGTTTCATGATTCATTTAAACGAGCATGGCAGACGGGCAGAAGGAGGAGAGGCGGTCAATAAGAGATTCTGCCAAGTCTTTAAAAAAATACGGAAGTACGTGCAATCATTTTAAACGTCAGGATCATTTTGTAAAACACTCTGTTGCTGAGGGCGAAACGTTACAAGGAATTGCGTTAAAGTATGGTGTTACCGTAAGTATTCTGTATATCTGGGTTAAACTCTAAATGTCTTTAAATTCTCCACCTTGAACGTACAACAGTTTGTAATAATGAGAAACCATCTATGGCGTGACCCAATGACCGTTTTCTAACCTTTTTGAAACACTTCTGTAACGAAAATATATTTCCGTCACAAATGTTTAAAACACATAATTTAATATTATGTTTGAAAATGAAAAATCAGTCACACAATACAAGGTGTAGCATTTTGTACATGGAAATTCTACTAGCCAGTCTGAGGTCAGCTGACTCAAACTAATGTAACATAATCCAGTAGATTGAAAACTGCATTATCAAAAGAAAAAATAAACCAAAAACCAGACCATGAGGAATGTAAAGCCCTCATAAAAAGTGGCCATCAAATGTCAGTATCACTGAATGGTAATTGTGTAGTTTATATGCTACACATCAGCAGACTTGAAATGTCTACATGGTTTCTTGGCAAAGCTGCATATGAGAGTTGATACAAGAGAACAAGGCACAGATATAACAGTGTAATAGGTCAGGCAAAACCACGGCAACCAACAGACTTTGTCTTCCCCTCCCCCCAATCCAGCTTCCAAAATGTAGTTTTATAACTTAGACATCAAAGCCCAAAGCAATAATTTGACATACTAAACTATACCATCGTCAGAATCCTTCAGACTTTAACATGCAGAGGAACTGAAGAAAACCAGTCTGTATTATGAATTGGTGAGAACTGTGCAGGAAGAGGTCATGATCTATTTTAAAGTCTTAACCCAGCATTTGTGTGGGGTAAACCAATGCTCCCCTTTGTTGCAGATGGAGCAGGTCCGCCGTGTGAACCGCCTGTGGGCCTCTGATAGCCTATTCCTGCAGCAGACTCTCATGATTCCAGCACCCAGACCCGAAGTCAGTGACCGGGTGTTGGATGACGAAAGTGTGCACTCGCCAAGCAGTCTGAGCAACAGTGACAGTGAAGAGAGAAGCATCAGTGACTTCCTTGTAAAGATTGACACGTCTATTGCCAACACAAAAGCCCAAGTGAAGAAGTCTGTAGGAAACAGTGAGTAAGTTGTGATATATGCTTTACTTACACGACAAGCTACCTCCATGTTATAGATCTTCCAGGAGAGGGCAAAAATTGTTGCTTGTTTATTTTGTTCTCATTTGCCTGAAGACACTCACCAGTACTTTGGTCTGTGGCATGTGCTTTACACATTTATATGAACTTTGTGGTCGGTCTTAACATACTCTAGAACTTTCATTTGAGGTGGGATCTTCATCCTTTGTCATGTCAATCAGTTTTAGACTTCAGAATTTTGATACAATTTTTTTTTTTTGCAGAGATACAATTAAGCTCCTTCAGATTTTTTTTTACCCCACTAAACACTTGTTACTATGATCCTTCACAGGGCAGTATTAATCTACTTCCTGTTATAATTTCCTCCCAGATCAAAATAATGGTTTCAATGTGTGTGCAGGTTTGTGGACGAGCATGATGCCATATATGCACGCAGAAAGGTTCCAGTTTCAAGGCTACGCCAACAGCAGTCAACATCTGTCCAGAATGATATCCTGACAGCACCACACCCTGTAGTGATGACTCAGAGCCGCAAAGTGCGTTCATCTCTCCAGAGACTGGAGAAGGAACAAGATGAAATATTTGAGTTGTAGCATTCGTTCACACGTTTGCACCATTCACAATTATCATCATGGTGCAGCACGCCTTATGACATATTTGAGGAGTACAAGACTTGTAAATAATGAATGCACTGTAAATATATACACCTTATGTTCTACATATCCCCAAGTGGAGAATGAACTCCTTTGCTTGTAAATAAGTGAAAATAAGTTTAGGCGCCACATACTTACATCCTGTATTACTAGGTCCTCATTCCCACAGTGTCTGAAGAAAAGATGCCACTGTAACAGCACTGTGGTTTGTGTTCATAGTCTGGGGTGCACTCCTTCAAAAGATGAACAAATATCTTCAATGAGAAAAGGACATGTCATTGGAAGATGAGTGTATAGCCCTCTATAGTAGACTTACTACTACAGCTTTTAATTCCCCAAATAACCACAGCAGAACTTCCAACCAGCAACATAAGGAAATGGAATGAGGTCATATTATAAGAACAAGTCTAAGGAGAGACTTGCAGAAATTTACAAGGAAAATGTTTGTGATAGTGTATGGTCTTGTAGATGGTTACCAATGTTTTGGAGGAGCATGTCACCTCCATCTTTGGGGCAAAAGTGGATCACAGGAAGTTTTTCTGAAACACTGGTTACCACCTATACTCTTATGTTGGGACCTGTGGCACATCCTTTACAAAATGAAATGTTGGTCTATTCCAGATGGTTACATATCTCATAAAATATTTAATGTTACATATATTTTGCAGCACAATGAACTCGATGAACTGGTTCATAGTGAAGCACGGCTAAAAATACGGAGACATGTTGGGTATTAGATCTCGGTAGCAGCAAGTTATTACGTTTATCATGTGCCTCCTTGTATTCAAGACATACTGTAGTGCACTTGTTATACACCGTGTTGTGTGACGAGACCGCTACTCTTCTGTTGCTAGGTGACCACTTCTTCTGCCCTTTTATTCTTGTGCTGCAAGCATGAGGAGCACCTGCCCCTCAAAGCTTTAAGCCAGACAACTGCGTTAAGTTCTTACCCACGCGTGCCTCAGTGCATGTAAGCAGATGGAAGGAAACTACAGGCCACTAGAAGACTGTTTCGAGCACTAGACTAGGAAGTCAAACAGACAGCGCTGCTGTCGCCATAGGCAAAGCCCTACAACAAGTTACACTGTTTTTGCATGTAGTTGTGAGGACCAAACTGGAAAAAATCTTTAGTGTCACAATAAAATAGTGAAGATTACGTAATGTTTTCATGTTCAATCACTCCATTGCCGCAATATTTTTAAGTGGCAATGTTGGTCTGTTGCATCAAAATGTAAAATTCTCATTGATATTTGCTGTAATAAAACATTGTACTAGGTTGATGTAGATCTCAAAATGCTCCCTTAAGCTTGTCCTTGGTCTTTACCAAAAGTTTGTATGCACCGATCACTTCCCTTTCATGTAACACTTCCAGCAAACATTTTCCATAGCCTCCTTTTTTTCTGGTAGTCTTTCAGAATAGAAGAATAGCTCGGTCAGTACAGTGACTGGCTATGGATTTGACGACCCTGGGGTTTGAGGGAGGGGGCAGAGGATTTTTCCTCTAACCTCTGCATCCAGACTAGTTCCAGGGCCCACCCATCTTCTTATCCAATGGAAAGCAGGGTCCTTTCCTAGGGATAAAGTGCAGTGTGATGCTGACCACACAGCCCCCTTTAGTGCTGAGGTCAAGAATGAGGAGGAGCTATAATTCCTCTGCTCCGCAAGTGCCTACATGGCGCACAGGGGGACAGCTTTGCTTCTACTTTCAGAGTAGAAGACCAAGTTACGCAGTCACAATGACAAACGAAGATATATTTGGGCTTCTCACCACCACGTGGAATGCTTTCCAGTAACAATGACTGTGATCCTGAACCATGGGTCTAGGGTCAATGCATTAATATTTAATACTGGACTGTGACCCGCAAACTGTACTTACAGCTGTTTCAAACCTTCAAGGACTTTATCACTAAAAATAAATAAAACTCCACTGATTTCAATGGAATTCTTTAATATACATGACAATCGAACTTGCAATCAATCAGCAATAAATATCCACATTGCAATCATCCTGTGTTCCAACACAAAACCTAGAACTGTTGATGCATGCAATACGCCAGTCTAAATATTTAAACAAGATGAACTTACGTGACATTTTGATTGCTCCAAGAACAGTAATAATGATTACCAACACAATCTGCAAAGTGCAGCTATGCTATTTGCCATCCTCTCCTGTCAGCAGGTGGTGGATGTGCCGGTCATTTCGCAAAACAACGGCTTTGAGAACGCTCAGGTGGTTTCGTTTCTCCTCTATGTTCTGCTCCAGCTGGTGCAGCTGGAGTTTCATTGGTTCTGTCAGCTGCTGCGTGCGGCTGAAACAGAACATGCACAAAGCTTCTGAAGGGCTCTACTTGCCTCATTTCTTAAGGAATAAACTTTCTGATAGCAGCATTAAAATGCAATCTGAACATAACTGCCACACACCTCTGCTCCGTGTTAAACTGTGCCATGAGCTCCGTGTTCGTTTGTTGCCACATGCGTAGTTCACGCTGCATGGAGTCCACATCTTCCTGTAAGAAGTCCATCAGCTTGCCCAGTGGGTTGGCAGCCCTCGTCAGAGTCTGTATTGAGCCTCGCAGGCGATCGATCTCGCGGCCTGCCAGCGCTTTTTCCCTGTGGCGTCCTGCCTCCCACTCCTGCCAACATCACAGCACTGTTTTAATGCCAACACATCATGATCAGGGCACAGCTATCTCCTTTGAATCGCATATTCATTATTAAAATGTCAGCCTTCTTCTATATAGAATTATATCGTACATGTTTTTGTAATGGATTCATTCATTACTTTATTTGTTATACATGTATCTGGTAACTTTTTAAAATCATTTTGTCTATTGTAAGAGGTTAACTTACTGATGTGTTTTACATCAACTATCACCTTTTCCTTCAGATAAAAATTACGTCATTTCAAGGAACTTCAGGGTGCAAAAGACCGGCAAACTGACAAGTGTTACATGGTGGAGAGATCTCAACTACACTCAGGTCTTAACAACGCCTGATGTACGTATCAACACGGGGGTTATGTAAGTTGTACATAAAACAGTGTTGTGTAGAATCCTTACAGCTTTATGACTTGCGCAATCAACTGGAATATTCTCATTGAAATAAATGCAACTTACAATCTCAACTTTCTTAGGTTGGCCATCCTGAGGCTCATGACGGCCGTCATCCTCGAGCTCATTCTTCGTCTCCAAGATCTGTGCCACTAAGCGTCCATGTTGCTCCATACCAGAAGCAGTAGGTGCAGACTGCGGCTGGAAAATTAACTTTAGTAATTTAAGCTATTTCACATGCACCTTCAAATTTATGTTTCCCTAGCAAAGCCCACCCATTACATCAGAAGAAGAACACGTGTTTCATCACACTGTCTGCTCCTTCTGCCAGAGGCTGGAGACAGTTCACTGCGGTGTGTAACGAGTGCACAGCCAAAGAATACTTCTGTGCCATTTATATCTTCCTGGAAGATGGCTGTCTTCTGGGTTGTAGTACTATTTAGTCTGGTAGAAGTTTACCAATATTTCAGAGGTCCTTGCAGCTTCCATCATCAGGGTGATAAGGACAGACCATACTGATCATGTAGCAACCATGGGCAGGTTGTTACAATTATCAAACAAAATTATGGTAATCTTAGAAAATGACTAAATCACACATATTACATTATTGCCCACTATGGTAAGAGAAGAAACGTAAGATTTAACTCTATGAACGGTTAAACACTGTTATTAACGCTAGCTGGACTATGTGCTATGTGTATATCTTAAAGAGAAGCTCAACACCTTCTTCGATAAACTGAGAAACGCCAGTCATGGCCACCTCATCACGACTTGCTTGATGAGGTTACTATTTCATCTCACCTGCTCCTGAATGGGAACAGGCACTTGTGACTCCACGACAATGAAATTGTCATCCTCGTCCTGCTCTGCAGTGGACGTGCCGCTCTCAGTGATCACATTCACCTTTCCCATGGGACTGCTGCTGAAACAGTACGGAGTGGAATGATGGGCTGAACATGCAGCTTGAGTATGAGCACAGGATTCAAAAGGTGCAATCCCACTGGCACGTACGTAGTTTCCAGGAGCTCGGTGAGCATCTCATTTTTTAATTGCACAAACAGCTTTCAGCCGAATCACATCTAGATGATGTCAGGTGGCTGAACTTGTGTGTAGATGATCAGTCACAGGGCTTAATCCTAGTAGAATAGGAATAGTTTTATTTTTTGCAATTTCAAGAATATTACACATCATCATCATATGGTGACTGATATTAACATTGTTTTCTTTTTTGGAGAAGAACTTATTAACCCACAAGAGATTTTGTCTGTGTTACATTCGCTATGCATAATCTCAGAGATTTGAACTTTCACCATATTTCTGTGACTTATAAAAACATTTCATACAACAATTTAATGTTTGTTTATGATCTGCCTCCATACCAAATTTCAAACACATTAAGTCCACTTGCTTATTAGTTACTGCCATCAAACAAAGCTAAAAATAGATTTCATGCAGCAACCATTTTGATTTACATTAACAAAACCTTAACAAGAACTTTTATAATTCTGAAGGCCTTACAATTTCTTATGTTCACATATAACATAATCAGAATCCATCCAACAAGTTGAAACATGTGAACAAACAAAACAGCATTCACTTCATAAAATATAAAGCACTGAATCGTGAGGTTATACGGACTTAATACGGCCCATTACTTGGTTATCAAGAAGCATAGACTATACTTCACCTTGATTCCTCTATAATCTGAACTTCGCCTCGATCTCTGATTCTAGGGGCAGCTGGACGCGCACTGGGTGGGCGTAGGGTACTTTGCGGACGTACACCTGTCTGAGGTCGGGCTGACCTGGGAATAGGGACAGTATCCAGCTGTTTATCCGGCTCTCTGCAACAGACCGGAGCTAAATCAATAGCAATACTAGTGTGCGCGTACTTGTACACAATGGTGTAAAAGTTTGTCACAATGGCCATCACAGGCTGCAAAACTGTATATAAGTGGAAGGCGGTCACTTGAATACTGGAAGCAAAAGAGCAAATATTCATCACATTCACCCTGAAGATGGTAACGGAAATGTATGCCAAAACATCAGATAACTTTCAACATTGGACATGGTTCATACCTGAAAGCAGAAGTTTTATGTACTCAAGAAACATATTAAATGCCTGAAGGCAGTAAAATGTAAGATAATGAAAAGAATGCGATTCTTTAATGAGTGCTATAAAATGAATGCAAAGCTGTGAAGATCCAATTTATCTTTCTCTACAGAAAAACTGATTAAAAACAGGAGATGCTTCGTTCAGCACGGACACACCACATGCAATAAGATACTTAAAAGGCTCCACGGTCTTACCTCTTGGTGGTATCTGCTCCCAGGAGCTGCACCTCTGCAGCCTGAGGGGAACCCAGAGCTTGTGCCTTCTCTTTAGTCTCCAAAAATGTCTCTGTGTTATTCTGGATGCTGATGTCTCCCACATTCTCCAAGACATCCACGTGTCCGGCAGGTGTAAAATTCCTTATGCCTGCCAGCATAATACTACAAATGTTTTGTGTTCCTTACCTCAGGAGACAAGGACATGGGGAAAGAGAAATTTCCAAACTCACAAGCTTCCTTAAATATGACAATTAAAATTGAAATTTTGTAATGAATGCCACGCAAGGTTGTACTAACCACTTGTAAACTTCCTCTGTATTTGAAGGTCAGTATTTTAGGAATATATACTCCACAGGTTAATAAATGTATACAAGATATTATATGCACTTTAATAATTTCACCGACATGAATCCTCCTCTAAAGCGAAATGGGCTCCTCACTGGGTTCTTCTAGTGATGAATATGTGAAAACACATTACCGTGCATTCATACACACCTGCTGATGGCTTGCTACGGCCCTGTCCAGCAGAGCTCGGGCTCTTCATGTCCAGATCCTGAAAAGACAAAATGTTTTGCACTGACAGAGAAAAACCATGAAATAATTATCCTAGTACTAATTCTGAGATCACATGTATGTCAGTCACCAGACGTGTTTCATGCCTGCCATCTGCTGGTGGCATGCACTAATCACACACGACGACTGCGTCCTCAAACTGGCACCCACTAATCTCGATGTTTTGGCCGACTCACCTTCACAGTTGGGGACTCTGGCTTCTCTTCCTTCTTGTCTGCGGGCACTTCCTTAACAGTAAGTGCGTCCAATTTCGCTGCTTCTTGCACTGGCTGTGGTGTGTCCTTGACAGGCCTGCAATGAGAACAATCCACATACAAACTGCATGAGGCATCACAAAAGCTGGAACATCAAAGTCATGACACGTGACTCACACGTCTGTCTTGCTCGCCGCCTTAGGGCTCTTTGTGTTGGCATCACCTGCCAACTTGTTTGTCTTCTTCTCCTGCTCCTTTGCCACGGCCTTATCTCGAGAATGCGTTCTGACCTGTGATGCCTGTGCTGTTGGTTTTGTCTTGGGAGCATTCTGTAACAGGAACCAAACATTGGGGTTTGACCATATCAGCAGCAACCTTTGTAGGTGATGTGTTAGCATTCAGTAATCAGTCATGTCAAAGTCACTCACCTCCCTGGTACTTGTCTTCAAGGTTGGTTTTGGCTTCTTCCCCACCTTCTGCAGGGACTCCACATATCCGACACTGCTCAGCTGCAACACAAGAGACTCTAGTATTTGTCTCAGCTCTGTTTGTGTGATGTTGCTCTAGACATTTTCCCCCTTTCATTCTTTTTGTCAAAACAGCATTTCAAATTTTATGGAGAATTGCATATGAATGTTATTTTCTTGCTTAAAAGCATTTGTGGCCATATTTATCAGCATGTGGAAATGTAAAAAGTTTCAGAAACATTAGAATGGAGAAAACTGCATGAGAAGTATCACCAAATATTATCGACGAAGGATTGGAAGGCAAATGAATTTTGTTCAAAGAAGTACACTGTATTAAGCTGACCTCATAACATCACAATTAGCATGGCCAATGACCCTCACCTTCCTGTCCAGTGCTCTGCCAATTGCTTGTAGCAGCTCATTGGTCTTGCTGGGTTCGTGGCCCGCAACAATCTTTGCTGGACGGACGGTCAGGTTTGTCCCTGTGATGGCCTCTAAAAGACAAAGAAGCATGATCAAGGTATGTTTCAAATTCCTCCAGATTTCCCAGACCCATAACTTACAGGAGCTATGGACAAGAGAGTCTAATTGTGCCAATTTACCTTTCTTGCGCTAAACATGTTTGCATATAGTATTTATCTGTCTTGAACTTATTTCCTAAACAAAGGAAAGCTTGTTTCTTCAGTCATGTAAAGACACTTTTAAAGGTATGTAGGATAGATGGCAAAATGATTATCAATGATGATCTGGGAGCAAGAAGAACATATCTGAAATGGTGACCATACCTGTGGGTATAGAAACTTAACCAGTAAAGTGTCCCTAATTACCCTTTCTGAAGGTTAACTCACTGCTGCCAACTATTACAGAAACTGAAAGCTCCCACATCACTACAATGTATTTTTTCAAGTTCCCTCACATCTTGACATGCCATCTATTCATGCATACTCACTGACAGCATCAATAACTTTCTGCAGAAAGGCGATCTTGCCATTTCGGTCCTTGATGGTCTCATGGCTCAGCTCCTCAGCAGAGAACAAGCCCCCAAGGAAACCAGTCTCTTGTATCACCTAGCAATGGGACCTGAGATTATGTACACATTACACTCCAAATCTTTCAGAACACTAATATGTGGTGGAAGTAGTGCTTCAAAGATATAATTCTAGTCTCAAATATACATACTGCACTTTTTGGTTGCTTCATCAACCATTAGATGGAAATTACATATGTTACCTATCATTAATGCTGATTTTTATACACAAATAACAAACACTTTTTCTGATTTTTTTACAACTGTTAAACAAAAGAAAACATAACATGCACAATTCACATCACTTTCAGAAAACACAGGAAAGAAACAAGCTCATAAATGACATGCGAAGAACAAGATATACTACAATCAAACTTAAACACATATATCTCACATAACAGCCCTATTATTAGATAAATATATTCTAAAAATTGTAGTACTCAACAGCAGTTACGATGTCATGAAGAAATCTAAATGGAGGCTTTTTTAACAATTTCTCCGTTAACGGCGGCTTTTTTATATACTTTCCAAGTATATCTTGCGTTCGTTTTATAACTTCTGGTCGTATATCATCACTCATATCTGATTATGTCATGTAACACACACTCCGACCGAAACATCAATCAGAATGTCTGCTGCAAGTGTAATCAAATTTCGCAACCAAACATTCCTGGCAATAAATGTGACTAATGCATAAGATGCCCTGTGATGTGAAGTGAAGAATCCACAAACGTGCTTGATTATTTGTCTTCGCTATCGCCAATCAACGTTCGTAGTGGACTTTACTTAATGTGCATGCGCTCTCTTTTTGCCGATTTGCCCCCCCACGCCCCCAATTCCTGAATAAAGTAACTTCCATATTTTTATATTTACAGAAACAAACACTATGTGCACAAACTTGACGTTAAAGACAATTGTTTTCCAATGTCAGAGGCGCTTGGTGACTCCGTGATCAAGGCTATGATCATTATTTTCACCGCCGTGAGAATAAGAAATCTTGCCATGTGCCTTGCTCTGTAATCGTTTGCTTTGTTATTTCAGAGTTCGTTGATTTCTGCCAGTTTCATTTAGTTTATTAAATGCAACCTCCAAATCCTGCGGTGATATCGAGAGTGGATACAACCACGGTAAACCATCCACTTATCACGGACTTGTACGATGTGACTAATGTCACATGCGAATGAATAAGAGTTTTGGAGCATTGTACTCGGTGGCATCCACGCCGCGTTAATTTTGCACACTTAATGTGCATTTATTTTTGTTATTATTATTATTATATTTATAATTGCAATTATAGATGGTCCGTTAGCAGTTCTGAACGAACTCCCTGAGTCCCAACATTCCTGAAAAAGATACTTATTGACCTTCATATTTACCAGAATAGCCAACTAAACTGAAAGAAGTTTTTTAAACTGAAATAAGTTTCTCTTAAATAGTTTCGACTTGTGCAATGCGATTTATAGCAAATTATACAACTATCTACGAGACAGTTACCTGTTGGAATATGACACAAAATGATGAATTTTACTAACCAGATACCGAATCGTTAAAAGAACAAGGGATGGCTACAATGAATCTGGGGCGCCTGGAAATTAGTCCGCTAGTAATGTAACGGTGACGCTTAGGTTGACGACTTTCAGGGGCGTGTGTAGTAATTAGATATAATTTAAACTCAATATTACAGCAATAAACATTTTAGACTAGGTAAGTTATTGTCTTTTATGTGCTACTAGGCGTGCTATTACACAAACTTGTTTATTATGTGGTATTCATTGGGTAACAGCACCACGGTTGATGGTGTCTTTCCGCCTGTCGGCGGCAGGAGTAGGGGTAGTCTAATCACGTTTGTGGGAGGGATTGCAGTTGGGTGGCTTTTCCTTGAACATGAGTCAGGAATTGATGGTTGGACAAATATTATTTATTAGTTAATACCCAGAACGATTTTCTTTGAACTTTTCAGAATTCGCCAAGTGGAGATAAAGAGTACGAAATTAAAAACGAACCATTTGTTTTTATCATTTTAGCTTTGAAGTTTCCAGACAATTATTACACAGATAATCATTCAAAATTCTCACCAAATGACGGATTGGACTTTGGCATGTGATAATGAGACATCTGAATATTAACTAAAAGAAATACTGCTTCTCAAAAGTTGTGGATAAGTGGTTAGCACAGATGTTTCTTATGCTGGAGGTCCCAGGTTCAAATCTCGGCCTGGTGCGACTTTTTTTTTTTAAATCCCGGGATAGTACTGTGAATTAGGCCACTGAATGGGTCACCCACACCAAAGAATGTTACTCTCAAAATTATGATTCAAATTTTGCTATTATGATGGCAGCCTTCTGGACATAATGTCAAATTGCAGCTGCCTGTTTGTCAAGCTTGGCAGTTGACAGTGATGTAAGTGACACTATCCATTGGGTTTTGAATTTCCTCAGCTAGAATAGTATTTAAAATTAGACCAATATATGTTCCAACAACATGAACATGTGTCTGTACACAGATTTGTGGGGGAACATGGACACAGAGAACAAGGAAAATGCAGAGGAGCTGGGCCGCAGCACTGTAGAGCTGATGGTGCAATGTGAGTTCACATCTTGTCTAGTTCATAATGTGGCTTGCGTATCCTACTCAAAAGTTAATGGACTGTTACAGCTCCTGTCTTATATGAAGGTCTAAAGAAATCTTTAATTTTATGTCTAAGGTATTAAAATTTGAATTGTGAATACTGCATATATGTGTATCCTTAGTTAATTTGATGAAAATAGTATCTTCATATGTATTATCTAATTCTGAAAATGGCATTAACATTTACATTATATATAGAAGATTTGTTGATCTGTGGAATAGACCTTTCCTTAAGTTTTTGCTATTGCCAGAGGCAGTGGGTTTTAAAGTGTGTGGCAGGATCCAAAGGTTTGTGAACTTTCTGTTGAAATATTTCTTTTCCATGCTGCCACTCACTTCTGCCAGCCGCTAAACCAGTAAAGACCACATCATCTATGTGAATAAAGGATACATTTCAGACCTGCTCAGTTGATGGAAAGAGAATCAGTTATGATCCAGCTTTATGTTTGTCTCATAAAATGTTCAGAATTTGGTAATGAAAATACATTTTGGGTTTGCAAGAACTGTTCTTGAAAAACCTATATAGAGCGAGGGAGGATGTCTGTGGTTTGAGCTGGAGAAACATGTGAAGTTGGCAGTATTTGAACATGATGTAATGAAGTGGTTTTGTTCTCAGCCCCATACAAGTCAGAGCTGCGTGGCCGTCTCAGGGCTACCAGCGAGAGGAGCAAAAAATTAGGCGAGGCATCGCAGGTTGCCGAGTCTATGGAATACACCTGTGCTGCCTGCCAGCGCAACTTCACAAACCTGTCGGTAAGGTTTCAGGTTGCAGCACGATGCAGTAAATACAGCGGTTAACAGAATCGTTCTTTTTCAGAATAAAATGTGAACTTATGAATATTTAACCTGAAGATACAGATGGTTGATTCAGTTTTCTTTTGGATTAGACAGAGTTTTTGACACTGTAAGTGTTGATAGTAGCCCCTTTAGAGCCCAGTGGTAACTTAATGTACCAAATACTTTAACAATCTGTTAATGCTGCATTTTTTGTTTGTGGGTTTCATATGATTTTCAGTGTAAACAGTGATCATTTCCGTAAACAGAAACGATCTTCATAATGGCATCTGTTATCTTTTCTTTGAGGTACAAACTGAAATCTTAAATGTTAATTACATGAGCTTTCAGCTTCAAAGGGTTAGTAACTGAAATCTGAAAGAACACACAGCACAAACCAAGCAAACATCTAACATTTGAAGCTAAGCATTTCACTGCAAGTACTGACATGTTTGACATTTGATAGGGTTTCAGACGCCACCAAAAGTTCTGTCAGGGAACAACTTCCACTGCTTCTTCTGTGGAGGAGGTGACAGTGGCTAAGATTGAGACAGAGCCTGTGCAGGACCCAGACTTGGAAGTAGCGGCAGATCCCTTGGCTCCAGATATGTTGGACAATGCACTCAGGGACAAGATGAAAGGTGGGCCACTGATGTAAGAGTTGGTGTGTCTTCATGGGATGATACTAATTTATATGGGTGAGAACGGAGGTTGAGGACGTTACACAGCAAAGTGCACAAGCAAATACGTGGACTGCATAACATTTGGGCTTGCTGAGATGCGAGGTGTAGGCGGGTGGATAATATTAAACTAGATTTCAGAGAAGCAGGACATGAAGGTGGGATTTTAGTTGTACTGTCAGAATAACTGTCTATTGTGGTTTAATGACATTGCAGGAGTGATGCTGACAAAGGTGAATGAACTGATTGATGAGACGACAGCAATGGGCCCTGGAAAGTGTCACTGTTGTGGGGAGGACCTGGAGACAGCACACCTGGTCGGTACAAATGTTATTTTTGGCTAAAGTACTTTCTGGATAGAAACAGATCTCATATTTACTTTAAAATGGCTGCAGGGCAACCTCCAGACTTCTTTCAAAATTGGTAGGTGTGTAAATGAGGTCTGTCATTGAAGTAAGGACTAGATATATCATTAAGAAATTTTTGTATTTATATTCGTAATATCTATTTTTTACTGGTGTTGTGATCGGCATTTGTTTGCAGGGAGGCGAGTTTGAATGTATGGACTGTGCAAAGAATTTCAAACTAAAGTCAAGTCTAGAGCGACACCGACGTGTAATCCACTTGGAAGGAGACACATACTCCTGCCCAGAATGTGAGGCACGCTGCCCTGACAAGGGCACCTTGGCTCGACATATGTACACACACACAGGTAAATACGAGTTCAGTCATTCTCTCCACCACCAGTCACCACACAGCACATGATTGGGATTTAAATTTAAACATTTTGCAGGGTTGAAGCCATATTCATGCACACGTTGCAAGAAGCAGTTCAGTCGCAAGTACCACCTGGAGCGCCACGTGATCCAGACAGGATGTGATGGCAACCCACGCCCTTCACACCCTTGCCAGGTAGACGACAGACATAACGCAGTAATGTCTCTTCCTGAACCAATTTATCTCTTTTTCAGTTACTGGGTTGTCATAAAAACAGTTGAATAACTTGAGAACCATGAAGTTGGTTGTTGTGTAGGTGCAGATTAGTCTTGATGTATTCCTTTTCATTTTACTAAGTCTTGAAGATTTGTCATTATCCCCTTAGAAGGACGCATGTTTGTCTGCAGGTGTGTGGACGGATGTTCAGTCGCAAGGATAACCTTCGTGAGCATCTGCGTGCACATGCAGGACAGGTGAAACGCAAGAAGAAGTACAACTGCCAACATTGCAACAAGGAATTTCATGGCACCACACTGCTGCAGATACACATGCGCACACACACAGGTAAACTTTCCTGTTCTGTATATGACAAATCCAGGATTCCATCTCCAAAAGACTGAGGGTTCCTCATTAATTCGCAGGGGAGAAGCCGTACCAGTGCGACTTCTGTAGCAAGAGCTTCCCGTCCAGCGGTGCCATGAAGAAGCATCGACGCATGCACACGGGGGAGCGGCCGTACGAGTGTAAAGAGGTGCGTGCTTCATCCTTTCAGGTTGCACTTTGGAATGAATTCATATAATCAATTAACAAAGGCCACAGCATGGAACCTTTTCAGAAAGTGCAAAGCTCATTGCAGTCGTAAGTTGTCGGTATCAATTAGTGTGAGTTACGGTTATGTTATTTGTAATTACTTTTCATGTAATTAAATTAATACATCAGTTACTGCTCACTACCAATGTGATGTCTTGATACAACTCCTACTTCAGTTTGCAGATGTTCTTGAAAACACAGTCTGCATTAAGATAATATCTTAGCCTGGAACCAGAGCCACACAGTTCATTGTAATACCACAAACGAGTAGCAAACGACTGTTTGTAATTACTACAGGTTCATGGGTCTTGTAATTATTCAGCTGGTCAAAAAATTTCAGCCAGCTCAGTTCAGTCCTCACCTTAGCATTCTCTTCCTCTTAAGATCCATTTTAATTATCTTCCAAGTGGTCCCTTCACTGAGGTTTGCAAGTCAGACTTCGTATGTATTTCTCAGTTCTACCATGTGTATGTCTGTAAGTCGCAGACACTTCAGTCACACTGCATGTTACAAAGAAACGAGGACAGCAGAGAATGGACTTTTTTTTTCTCTGAAGAAAACAGGGAATAATGAGGTCTTGTTTAAGAGCAAATACAATGTCATTTGTAAGGAGTGAGGTGGGGGTAGAGGGAAATAAACTGTGGAAGACTGATAAGATGACAAATCATTCTAATAATAAGTGACTCCACATTATTTAATTTCTCCACCCCATTGGTACTACGTTCGTGTCTTACGTCCAGATACACCCTTCAGGAGTTTAACTTTCTGAAGCTGAAGCTCAACCTAGTAGTATTTAATACCCAGTTTTTACCTCAAGGACAATATTTAAAAATCAAGTTCTTACCTCAAAGAAAACGCGCCTTTCCGTTATGACGATGGATTGGTTAATGGTGTTCAGGGAAATAATTGCTGTTAAACCTGAAATCATACAGAGTCCATAAATATACTCTGTTGGCTAAATGCAGAGATATTGATTGCTGAAGCAGGTGGTACATTTTGTTACCAGTGGGCTTTGAATGGTTGAACATCCTCTATCTGTCCCTTCCTTATAGTGAGAGTGACAGAACAGTACACAAAATTAGTTTTTGTATATTCTAATCTTAATGTTTTTGGTAACGTGTCAGAAAATAAAACAATTCTGAATGGAATGGTGGCAAGCAGTTCCTCATTTAATCTGCTCTTAATGTTCTATGTATTTGTTTATAACATTTTCATTTATTACTGTCATTGCCAGTTACTTCATTGGGCTCCTTATGACTCTCTCTCTCGCACCTTGGTGACGACTACACACGGACATGAGCCCTGTCTTTCCCGTACTTATTTCTAGGCTGTTGTCGTTTTCTTTATGCTACATTCTCATATTTTCCTACTGACAAATACAAAACAAAAGAGAATTTGGACATAATTTTATTTACATCTGTGGTCTGTTTTCCCTTATAAATGTGAAGTTGGTTTACTGTATCAGGAATACAGATCATTGTAACTAACTGTGTTCTGATGTTTGTGCTCTCAATGGATGCAGCAGTGAGGTATGTTATCACGTTGTCAGTTTACTCTGTTTCATTACATTGAGACAGTCCAGTGAGTACCAGGGCCAGTCAGTACCAGCCGACCGCTCACTTTTATTTTTAACCTTAGGGGAATGTGTCGTTTGCTCAAATTTAATGAACCCACATCCTCCACTTTGGTGATCTGATATGAAGACATTTAAAATATAACAGACGAAGGCTGGATAAGTATAAGGCATGTACTTGAGAAAAAGAGGGCATATCAAAAAGTGGTTAGTACATACGTCCTCCATTATCATGCATATCAAGTACAGTGCTTGTATTTAACGCACTTATGTATGGCATTTTAAAAATGTATTTCAATTCTGTTTTTAGAATATTTCATACAGTGTTTCTGACGTGCACATTGTGATGTAGGTGGTAGACTGTGTGCTACTTAAACAAGGATTTATAGATGCCCAACTTGCATTACACATGTGCTGTCACACTGTGATAACCTTTTTGTATGTATGTTCAGGCCTGGCCGTAAGCTCGTCATCTTACATTGCATGCTAGACATTCTGCCTAAATATGTTTCTGAATCCATATTTTGCATACTGTCCAAGTTACGTTACCCATGCATTGTGACAGCAATGTACCACGATAAGAACCGTTAAACTCTGCGATCCAACACTGTATACGTGCTTTCAGTGCCTTGCCAAGTTTGCTGCAAAGGAGACACTGAACCGCCATGTGAGGACACATACAGGGGTGAAGCCCCACAGCTGCCAGTTCTGCGGCAAGAGCTTCATACAGGCATCCCAGTTACGGGCCCATATCTTTCACCACACTGGTAAGTCATGGCCAATTCTGTTTGCAGCACACTCCATACTATAAATATAGGTCATGATAAGAAGTGCTACTGTGTACGTCCAACTAATTTGGTTCTACACGTCTCATCCCAGAGATACAACAACTGATAGTATTATGTATTTATATAAGTTTCAAAATCCTCTGAGGTGCATTACATTTATATTGTGGAAACTTGAGAAAAGGGTTGTACAGTAGGGACCAGATTACTTGCTAGCTGAGCTCCCTAGCGCTGTAGATAATTGTGCTCGGCTCAGCCTGGTTGGTGCACGGAACGGCCGGGTAGAATGGATACAAAAAGCGCGGAGGTGCGTGCGCAGGGCTTATCACCTTGCTCTACACCCCCCTGCCAAGAACTCGCAAGTAATCCGGTTCTTACTACAGGTAATCTACATCAAACTTGACCACACATGAAGCTCTCATAATATGATGTTAATAACTGACTATTCCTGCAGGAGAAAACGGCTATACATGCGAGCACTGCGGCAAAGCTTTCAATCGCCGGTCCCGCCTCATTATGCACGTCAAATATGTTCATGAGGGAGCCAAGCCGTATGAATGTGAACAGTGTACCAAGACGTTTGTGCGCAAGGAAGACCTTGCGCGTCATGCAGTGCTGCACACTGGGATCAAGGGTAGGACTGTGCGCTGTCTGGTTCAAGATAAACCACACGATGGCACTTACTAGCAGTACCTTGTACTTTATCATTACGTCATGTTGTCTTACGTGTTCAGGAAGTAAAAGTAAATAATAATGTAACTCGAATATTGCAACCCAAAGACTCGTCTGCCACCAGTCCTGAGCCTGTAGCGGTGTTGTCAGGCACTGAGGTAAAAGTCCATGCATTGCAGACCTTGTACAAAATGGAGGTGAGTGTCCAGTTACACGTGGGCAAATTGTGCCTTCAGAGATCTGAACCTAGGTTTCCATTGGGAATTCAACACATGAACTGAGTATCTGTTACTATTTTTTTGGGGGGGGGGGGGTGTGACTTGTATTAGAAAGTTTGGAATTTACTAGGAAGTAGTTTACTTTATAATTTTGAAAATGTCCTGTAACTGTCCTGAGTTTTATTCCACGCATTGGTGATAAGAACTTTGATGGCTCTTACGGGATTACTTATCCTTCAGTTACAGAGAACATTTGAAGTAATCTCTGTTTTAGTTCATTTAAATATTAATTCTGAAAAATACTAAAATGAGCATAACCTATAACATAGTTCTTATGCATATCATAGTTGTCAATAAAACACAGACAATCAAATTATTCTTTCCATATAACCTTATTTAGAATAAGGGAGTAACAAGAAGAAAAATAGTGATGATTATAACAGTAATTATTTGCGACATATTTAAAATTGCAAGTATTTGATGATACAACCGTCTGTGAATCGGTTCATTACACTATGAACACACACTTTATAAGTCTAAATTGAAAGACCTGTTTGATAAGCAAAGTGAACTTATTTTAATGTTCTGTTTTGTATTGGACGCAGCTAAGGGCATTCAGAATGCCAATTGCATTGTATGTATGTTGTGTACTCTGGCGTGTATTGCACTTTTCCAATCCCGCTACTAATAATGCTTAAAAATGTTATAGTAGTAATGACTAGAATATGAGATTAGAACTTCTTCAGATGCCGGTTACACTCACCTCTTGTTGGAAATTCAGCGGGAATTAAAAAGAATGGCGTCAGTCGTTACATTCTTATGAGATGCACTCATGCGGAATACAATGACGACGGTGTCTTGTGGGCTACAATGCTGTCACATGGTGGCAACTGAGAAGACTACCACTGCCATCTTAAACTGCCATGTGAACCTCAATTCTCATTTGTGTTGCAGCACACAAGTGCCCAATCTGCGAGAAGTGTTTTGCGATGAAGTCGTCCCTCAAGATCCACCTGCTGACACATACAAAAGTAAGAGCACAGCTTAACTTCAGACTGTTACAGTGATTTAACAAACTTTCTGTAACATTTGAGGACCTCATTTGGTAGGAAAATACTGGGACCTAAGTGAAATATAATCTGATACCACACAGTATTTTGGATTAAGGTGTTACATCCATCGGTAGGGGAGGAACAGTCTTAATATTATGCTTCTAGTATTATTGCATGGTTATATTGATGTTATTATGGGTCCGACCTGTAGCTTGGGGTGGGGAAATGTGTTTGAATTTTAATGGTAAATAGGGAAAACAGATCAATTTGCATCATTACACCATACAGGAGCTGGGTTAGTTATGTAGCGTTTACAAAGCTGGACCTACTGTTAAGTTACATACCATCTGTGTGATATGGTCATGAATGCTTAAGTCAGAAGGAACCAAGGAAAACCATTATTACGAAAAACTCAAGTTTTCAATGTTTCAGTTTTCTTGTTCAAGATTTTTCTAGGTGTAGTGACATTATGCGAACTGGTTATTTGCAGGAGCCACCACGTTCATGTGATGAGTGTGGGCGGGCGTTCATACGCCAAGACTGCTTGTTGCGTCACATGCGCACTAAGCACCGTGACATGCTAGAAGAAATCCTTGCGGAGGCAGAGAAGAAAAAGTTACAGCAGCAGCTGTTGGCGGCAGCAGGCGGTGGTGATGTGGGGACTTTGCCCCCCAGCAGGGATCCGATACCTACGGCAACCACGGCTGCCATCGAGCTGAATACTGGCACGCTCGGTGAGAGAGCACTAGCCGACTCGGTGCGGGAGCTACTCACTCTGCTGGTGGATGAAGCAACACTGAAGGCATTTGGGTGGCCGGGTGCTCCTGTGGATCGGCTGCTAGAGGCTGTCATCAGACGCTGTGGCCATCAGCCTGTGGGTGCTGGTGATGATTTACCATATACTGACCGCCTCAGAGAGAATGCTAAGCTGCTGTTCACTGTGGTGATTGATGATTCTGCTGTTAAAACTCTTCTTAACAACCAGACTGTAGACGAGGTTATCCTTCACGTTCTGCGTCTTGCTAAGTCTTAGGTAGATACCCCAGTGCTTATAACGAACAGATGCAACTCAAAATGTAAGTTAACTGCTGTGAATGATATCAGAATCAGACATGAATGAGGAGGTGGCAGAATTTTCACCATTTGGTGACAATACCAATGGAGTTGTACTGCTCAAAGTCAGATTCACTCATCTAATTTCAGTGTTTGGACAAGCATTTATTATATTTTTTCCTTTTTTTGTAGATGTGCATAAATGATTAATACTACAATTAAATTATAGTAAGGACACATACTGTAACAAATTAGGACAGGTCACATGGAGCATATACACAGTCTTGCATTAGATTTCATCTTCTACAATTTATGATTTTTCTTCAGAGAAATGTCATCTATTGGACATATAAACTGTAACAGTGATTATGTAGCATGATGGTTTTTATTAGGTTGGTAGTGAAATCAACTCACTCAAATACAGGCTGACAAAGAGAGAGAAGTAACTTGCAAATGGGCCCAGACAAAACACAGTTTAACAATATGAGTCACACTGTATACATAGATTTTGAAAACTCCAGGCCCTTTCTCAGAAATGTAAGTACAGAATGTCCTATAATCCTGGAACCATATTCAATGCACTTGAATGGCTCGATGAACACTTTCATGAAACAATGGAATGGCCACCAGGATCCCATGACCTGACATCTGTGGGACCATCTGAAAGGCAAGGCGTATGCTGATGAAGTACATGGTGTTGAGAAGTGGAACTATCGATGCATGCAGTGAGACCTCACGCCACGCTATTAGAATGGCAGGAACATCTGCATGTGTAACAGCTGTGTTACAATTCTGATAATGACTATGGATGCAGACTTATGGGACTCTCTCTGTGTGTGTTTATATGTTATTTTCACTTTGGTCTAAAAGTAAACACAGAGAAAACTAAGTATACGTTGACATCTTGTCACCAGAATGCAGGGCAAAATCGTAACAATAGATAGCTAATGGATTCTTTGAAAACGTGGCAAAGGTCAGATACTTGGGAGCAACAGTAACAAATCAAAATTTGATTCATGAGGAAATTAAGAGCAGATTAAATTTGGGTAATGCTTGCTATCATTTAGTTCACAAACCTCTGTCTTCTTGTCTGCTGTCAAAAATGTAAAGCTTAAAATATACAGAAGTTTTAATTTTGCCTGTAGTTTTTATGGGTGTGAAACTTGGTCTCTGACACTAAGGGAGGAATGTAGACCGAGGATATTTGAGAACAGGATCCTTTGGAGAATATCTGGACCTTCAGGATCCATAAGATGTTGGGAATTTCTTGAGTGGCTGAGCAACTGTTGGCTTCTCAGGAAGGTCTCAACTCCATGGAGAAAGTAAGAAAATTGTTTTTGCTTAGCACATTCTCCCTCAAGTTAAAGATGTGTTAACTTGTGAAACTGAGGTTCTGTTCTTAAAGCATGGCTGCCAACATTTGTAGATGCACACGGATTTCAGTTGCTGGTTCTCCATGCACTTAAAAAAGCAGCTGCATGAGGTATTTCCTACTCCACTTCAGGCCATCTCTTGGGAGACTGAGGGAGGCACTTGCTGGGCGGTGCCTCGTAGCAGAGCTGTACACCTGCTGTTCCCTCTTATTTATGGAGTGTCCACAGTCACCCATCTGCAGCCACAATGTCTTTGCTTCTGTCAGGTTCCTCTTGAAGTCTGAGGTACCACATGTTAAGGCACTCAAAGTCTGCTTCCTACCAAGAACCATTCGGTTTACCTCCTCATCCAGCTGTCCTTGCAGTGCACCTGTTCATGCTTGACTTCAACCCCCTATTCTTTATGACTAGTACCAAACAGCTCTTTTTCTTTGCACATTGTCTCAGTATGCTATGAAGACGAGGACAAAAGTGATTGATCTGACTGAACTCACCATTTTACATCAGTGAGGTCATGGAAATTACACACATCATTAGTGAGAGAATTTAATGTAGCAGACACCAGCCAAGATGCAAATCTCAAGCACAATGATGAAAATGAGGATGATCTTGTTGGTGAGTACATGAAGCGTCATCTTGCGCAGCAGGACACGGGTCTGTGACAGTTCATGATCTGTGTCCGTAAGTCTCCGTTTGCTATGCAGCAACGTCTCTCTCTGTGCACCCAACTCTGACACAACTTCCTCTGCGATTCGTTCGGTCTCCACAGCCGTGCGCTGCGAACGAGCAAGGCTTTCTGCTGTACGTTCCAGTGTTGCGTGCCCCTCCAGAACCGCGTGCCGTGTCTCATCTTCCCAGATGAACCCTGACATCCTGACTACCTGAAAAGCATGTGTATGATTAAGGGACATGGAGAGGGCTCTAGAACCAATCCAACCTCTAACCATCACATAGGGTGATACACATAACAAATATAGATCAGACATTCAAACCCAAAACAGCAAGCAACTGAATTAATCGGTGAAAGGAATATCAAAAAATATAAATTTTACAGGATAAACAAACTGTTTTTTTCTAAAATCAGCAGGGGTTAGAAAGATATATCTTTTGCTGACACAGTAATGACAGATACCCAATAAAATCCATATTAATACATTTTCCTTGGAACTAACTGACCATTACATAAACAAGTTTTGGGTACATGTTCCCTTTCTGAAATCAAGTGATTTTTAAATCTAAAACATTTTGGAAAAACTGACACAATAAGTTACTGGTACCTGTTGTGGGTAACCTGTACAAAGAATCATAGTTTTGAGACTGAAAATGATTCAATAGTAACTGGCATACAAGTAGTCGTGGATCAGAAGATAATGGTGATGATTCCTCTAAAACATCCATGTTTTTTGAGGCTGTACTGTATTGTGTGGAATGTCTTTACATTTAAGATAAAGGTAGTGGTATATGGTGTAAATATTACTGGTTAATGATATTTCATTAGCCAGTGTTGCTGTGGTCTCAATATGAATTCTTATCATAATCTGAAGAAGAAAAAAAGAAGGAGTGCTTTAATGACGACAAGTAAAAGGCAATGAATTTTCAGACGCATTATATATACAACACACAAATGACAGCATATGGTTTTCACAATCCAAAACTTGGAAAATTACACAACAAAATAAATCAGGCTTGGTGGGGTGTCTTGCGTTGAAACCACTTGTATCTCAATGAGTTAAAGAATAATAATTTAAATAGTGGAAGACTGGACTAGGGGACAGACCCCCAGGGTAGTTAATATGTCAATGTTGTCAAGGCATCCAATTTACCACGAACAAAGAGTTGGAAGGTATAATACTTTACCCTGTAAGTCAAGTTTCAATATCTGCACCTGGCCTCCTTCCAATTATAACTAAACATTTAATTGCATCTGAACATGAATTGGTTGTGTACTCAAATTAATTACTATATTAATACTGAGGACACTACATGAAAAATCTTACCAACACTCTAATGAAATAAAACGGAATTAATTTACTCTCATCTACAAAATTCACAGTACTAGCTTTGTAACAGCTACACCCAGGGATCTTAGAGCAGACTTAAGTTCATGGCAATTCTAAGTATCCATAGGAATTAATATATGACAGTGTAAACACATTCTCAATGCACTTCTTCTGGTCTTCATTCAGTACATGGGGCTTGAGAAACCAGTCCGAATGGTGGGGGTGCAAAAAACGGCCAGTCTATTTTAAAGTTCCCTTACATTATCTTGTTTAAACACTTCTTCTCTTCCCATATCCTATATGTTAAAGCACTGCACTGATATAGATGGTAACCAACAGCCGTTGAATAATAGGAATATTCAGTGCCAGAAACTTTAAAGGAACGTCTGGAACTAACTTGTGGGAGTTGGCATATAGAAGTTATATGAATTGATTGGAATTTGATAGCTGTAGATGAACACACATATTTGGAAACCCATAAATACACTGAATACGTGGAATTATGAGAAATTGTAAATAACACACTCTCGATAATTACCAGGTCTTGAGCTTGCGTTATCAGGCTCAGAAGTATATAATCCTAAAAACTTACCCGAGCACTTACAAACTGTGATAGTCACGTACTTTGAACACCATGAGACAAACACAGAGGTTATACGCAGTGTATATTCCAGAATTCTATGATCGTGGTGTGAAAGTGTACACTCAGCAAATTAATAAGTACCGGTTAGAGAAAACATCCAAGTCGGCTCCTTCGCATGGCAAAGATACACAGGCCAACATTTCAATGACAGTAGGAACGGGGCATAATAAAAGAGCAAAGATCAAAGGCTTAAATTTTGTTCGTGGTGGCCATCCTGGGAGTTAACTTCACCAGGGAACAAATGTTTGGTTATATAAAAAAAGTCTATCAAAAGTAAACGTAGCCATTTGAAATCGAATGACAAGCAATCATGCGGAAGGATGGTGAGGCCCCTACAGCCCCATTTGATTTTCTTTACCATAATAGCCTTTTAGAGAATTTTTGTTTTACACCTGTCATTTGCCATTATGTATCTTTTTCTCAAGCGTGTATATCAGAGAAGTTTCACTGTAAAATGCAAGTAGTACACAACTTATAAATGATTGAATTCTGTTTGCCTTACCTGTCACAACTTGTGCTGTTGCTCCATATGGTAGAATGTCTTTCTGGGGCCTAAATATCAGACTGTAGTGTCTACATAAGGCCCCTCACAACAGAATTGGAAATGGTATAGCTATCAATACCTGACTGGTCTAATGGGTATACTGATGCCTCCATACCCTTCTGGTACAATGAAAACAAAGACATGATCATAACTGACTGGAAAATGTAAGGTTTCTCCTTACCTGGCTGTTATTATGGCTAAATACATAATGATTATACAGCTGTCATCATACCTGACTGGTGTAATGGATATTGTGTGCTGAGTCGGTCAGGGATAGAAACTTGCATCCATACACGAGTCTTGGCATCTGACTGTGTGATGGCTATACTGTTGAACTATGTGGTTATACCTACACTTGTACTATCTGAGTAAATAAGTTCATCATAACTCTTGAGGTTAGTCTAGTTCTGGGCAATGTCACTAGGCAAGGTCTCACTGTGTTGCTTGTCTAATGTAGACTTTGCTAGGGCAATTGTTTAGACTGGGTTAAGATCTATTTGTCTTGCTAGTCTTTTCCATGCTATATCTTGGTTAGATTTCTACAATGGGTAAACATAATTTGGGGCATGCTTGGGTTGACTGGCCAGACTGGGGCAGCTAGTAAGGTGTTGGGCATAACAGAACAAGCCAAGTGTTTGTTTCATACATTTAATTCCAGACTACTGAAGTTGGGTATCTTGTAGAATGGAAACAATGGTGCTCACCATACATAAATACACTGCAATTCAATCACAATGCAAGTGTGAGATGTCTTGCAGTTCTAAATAGGGCAGCAATGCCCATGAAAGACAATTGCTTTGAGGGAGGGAGGGGGAACAGAAGGCAACAAATCTCTTATTTATTTATAGTTTCCTATTAGTTATCCCTTAAATTTATATCCAATTGACATCATCATAATCTCCTTGATTTCACAATTTTGAAAGTAACATCTGCTCCCATATAATTTTCCTCTAAGAGTTAGGCTACATTTAGCACATTTTCAAGAGGTTCGTGATCACAGGTTGAGAATCACCGGTTTATATGAGGAACATCTATAGTTTAAGAATAAACAGCAGCAAGACATGCTTGACATCTTTTCCCCACCTACAAAATAGATAACAGTGCAACATTTACTTATATGCAGACCAGGACTTCACAAACCACTTCTTTCAGACAGTGATATAAAGTGTTCATGAACAGGCCTACATTGGCCATGACATAAAACACATGCCGACCCTGGCATCATGCCATGTACGTAACTCAGAATTAGATCAGGACTTTCTTGCAGCAACTATAAATATGGAACCCCAGATATAACATGATGTCACAAAGCTGGATTACAGCACATCTGTTCAGGAAACCAGTAGCACGAACCTCATCTGCCACCTAGAAATTATGAATGACTGCTTCCTTACAAATAACTTGTCAATTTTCATTCACAGTTATCCTGAAATGTTTGACACAGCTCCTGGTGACTGTTCAGGGCATAACATACAGGCCTGATATCTCTCATATCATGCAAGTCTTGCGGACTATGAGGGATAAGTCAATAAAATTCTGGTCATACGAAGAAAATGTTCATGCACACAAAAGAGATTCTGTACTTACTGATCCAATTAAGATATTGTGTGACAGGATGTGTGAAAACTAACTAACAAAAAGTTGTAATACAACGGATTTCTCAAACTAAAGTTTTGATTAAACTAAACTACTACCGAGCAGCGACTCAGAGTATTTTATAGGGAATCTGCTTATTTGCCAGTAAATCAGCACAACAGGTTCAGGCAGGCCACTGCAACATTTATATCAACACACAGGATATTGCTTGTGAGTTTCATACAATCTTTGTGGAAAGTCTTTAGCACTAAACCTGGCAGTAAAGACACGTGTTTTCATGTAAAGAATTAGACTTACACTTCAGCCACTATTCAAAACATTCACTTGAAATCATTACGGAATCTGACCCGGCACTGAAGTCATCTAACGTATAAAAATATAACATCCACTCTTGAATGGCACTCGTAACGTCCACTGTCATTGGAAAATAACGTAAGTACAAGAGGGCTGCTAAGATGACTATCTGTGACAATTTTAACAACTTCTTTGGACATTGTAACCATGTTGATGGACTCCCTAATTCTAGAATTCAGCCTTCTGTAAAGATGACTCCATCATTCAGCACAACAGCAGAGCTGAAACATTTATAGCACGAATTGCAAAGACCAGGGTTGCTAGGACCGTCCCTTACTCTGACGCCTTCATTTGCCGAGGTGCACGATAATCCCATACATTGACAAACGATGATAACATCGACTCTAATTGCAGTTAAACCAAATAAGGGCACGTGGGTTTCTCTTATTAAGTGTTCATTTAAAATACAGAACTAAACAATCAAGTTTTGGCCCAGTGACAAGAGAGTAAAGAAAGGTAAATATATACCACACCAGCGCCTGATGTAACATACACAGAGTGTTAAGAACATAAAATAACCTTAATTAGTAGGGATGAATCATAGACAATGCCATTATAAAATCTTGTATGCACTGACGTGCTTATGAACTCAAGAGCGCACTCACAATATATTTACTGTTACTGGTGGAACTTGTAACTGGGAAACACATCCAATATCTGTTAACTGCTGAACGTGCTGGGTCGCACTTACGTCGCTCAGTTGAAACACGTGCATGTGAAGGCTGCAAGCTGTTCTGTTAGTAATCTTCAGAAGTTAGTGTCATAATCTGAACGTCTGCGTGAGTATCCACTTGCGCTGCTACCAGCATTTCCACTGCCATAGTACGCGTTGTAGTAATAGCCATTCCACTCTGACCGCCAGCTGTCATACAAGTTTGACGCGCTGTTTTCCTGCAGAGAACCTGATGACCGCTACGAAGACAGAGACTTCTTTAGTAATGGTGTGTCAGCTGATCTTATGGACTGAGGTAGTGAGGCTGACATTTGGGTACATATATTAAGTTCAGAATGGAGAAAATTACATGTATAAGTGATGTCGTGACTGGCTTTGTAATGCTGGTTAGGTAACAAAATCAAGGTTACTGCAAGCTGAGCAGTAGCTTGGAAGGTTAAATCAGAAATGCTATGAAAATTCTGGGTTGAGGAATCTCTTGGAAAGTGACTCTTGGCTGACCTAACAAGAGATGGATCAAATATAACCCGCTTGGAAAGTGTATTCCATATCAGAATACACATAATATCCTTATATATTCTTTGCAATATGCATTTAGAGGTATCAAATCCAATGCATGACTTTTCTCATCCATAATTTTACTATCTACCTCGGCCGGGTTTGAACCCGCGAACCTTGGGTCCAGTGGCGAGCACGCTAACCACTAGTCCACCGAGGGCGACAATGCTATCAAGTAACAGGTGATAATCCTTGCTACCTGCAGAGTAATTTGAAGGCTGTATAAATCATGTGCATATATTGCAGTATTTATAGATCACTTGACTATAGGATCATGTTGCTGTATATTAAAAACCATGTCAAAATTTCAGAAAGGGATTACAAACTTACCTTTTTTGGAGGCTTGTCATTCCAAACATCCTCCATGTTATACAGGTCATCTGCCCCATAATTATCAAGACCTCCCATGTGATTCTTGTTTAGTTCATTCAGCATGTCCTCAGTAAGAGGCGTGGGTGACTTCTTTTTGTTGTTCTTGTTGCGGTTCACAAGCTGCACAGAAAACAACAGCACGCAGTCAATGTCACTGTGACAATGATCCAGTCACCACAAGCAAAGCGACTGACAACGGCGGACTATTGAGAGGATGCGCTTATACCCAATGCGTCTACCAACCATCCATCGATCCACAAACGTTCCTGTCAACATGTTTTATGAGCGAGCTTTTGCATTTGCAAAACTTACATGCACATTCTTGCATTGAACTTGTTTCTTATTTGGTGAAGCTGAAGAGAAATTTGGTAACACTTCTTTTATTTTAACCCTCTCTGTACTGGTAGGCGTGTTTATGTCTAGAAGTGTACGAAAACAGATTCTGAGCTGCAGGAACTGTTAATAAATGTGTATCAGTACCAGCAGTTACTTATTTAACTACATGACATTAGGAGAAGAGGTCCTGGATTCCATTTGTTTGCATTAAAGTTAATGCAGACAAATTTAATACGTTATATGTCAGGCCTACAGCCGTAAATTAATGACGTAAATTGATATTTTTCACTGTGAGACTCGTGTCAATCAGTAGTTTATTTGGTAGTGCCATGTAAAAATGTTACGATAATAACAGTTGAAACAAGACAAAGAGATGGTTCTTAATTCTGATTATAAAGTGAATCCCACCCTGAAGAGTGCCAGGAGAAAAAATAAAGATGAGTTAATTTGATCTGAGGTTACACCACTCACATCAGACTTCTGCTAAAATAGCCACAGGCCAGTAGTTGGGGAAAGATGCGATTGTTTTCTTAAAATTAATGTAAAAAGTCATGTTGCAGAGATTTCAAACCAAAAATGCTCACTACACACGGTCGTTATCAGCATACTTACAACAGTGACACCAAAAATGATGACAAACAGTAGGGATGCCAACCCAATAACAATTCCAGCAATAGCCCACTGTGGCAGGAACACATCTTCATCTGCATATCCCACGGTCGGCACAACCTGTTTGGACAACACTACAACAGAGAGAGAGAGACAAAAACGTGAGGCACGAGCAGCAAGCACCACATCACTCAAAGCGGCCGACTGAATTACTGACTGTTCAAAAGGTTCCCTCAAAATGTTACTTGCCTACGAAGTCAGTGAACTTCGGATCCACCAGAAAGCTGCCCAACTGCAGCCTACTGCTGACCGCGGCGTCAGGCTCGGCTGCCGCGAGACTACCGTGGAACAGCCTCTTCATCTCCTGAGTGTCCACACGGCGTCCAAGATCTGTCAGCTCCACAAAGTAGTCTACCAGAACGTTGCCCATACCATAACCAGAGGTCACTGCATTTGAGTTGGCACTGTCACTGCAAAGTGTACGGGCTGTCTGCTCAGAGTTCAATGTAATATTGTACTGGGGGGCTGCACTAAAATTAACCCAACCTACCCTCTTTTCATACTACATAAATTTTCTCACAATCATGTTATCATACAAAATCTGTTATAACATAAAATACAATATCAAACCTTACATCTCATTATAATTTATCTGCAATATTTTACAACATGGCAACTGTTTAATACAGCGTACAGAAAATACTGTTTATGCATCCATGGACCACAGTATCTCAGAACAACAGGCTTTCAACCACAAGAGGATGAGTTAAGTGAACTTACCTGAAGGAGTCTATTCTAATCTTCCTGAACCACCGGCCAAGTGAGTCTGACTTGCGGTACACTGTCTCCAGCTGAAAAAAAGTACATTATTTGTTTTGTGCTACTGAACACTTATTAAATGAATGTGAACGGAATAATGGGGCCCTGGACTTGGACAATTCACATGTTGACTGCAAATTTCTCTGACTGAATCACTCACTCACTCACAAAATCTTAAAGAACTGGAAGTTCAGAGACAAGAACTTCGACCTATTTCTCTGACTGAATCACTCACTCACTCTCAAAATCTTAAAGAACTGAAAGTTCAGAGACAAGAACTTCGACCTTAAGTCTTGCCCAAGGCAGTCTGCGAGGGTCCTCAGTTACTCCTCGGACACTGGGCTGAAGCACGCCCCATTTCTCCGTAAACAAGTCCTTTTTACCCTCCTTTCCGACACTCACGCAGACTACACGATTGATATTATTCTACAGCAACACGAGAA